ACTATATACAGGGCTATGGTAACCAAAACAGCATGGTACTGGTACCAAAACTGACACCTAGACCAATGGAATAGGTTAGAGAACCCAGAAATAAAGCTGTATACCTACAACCATCTGATCTTCATCAAAGTCAACAATAACAAGCAATGGGGAAAGCACTTCCTATTCAATAAATGGTGTTGGGATAACTAGCTAGCCATATGCAGAAGATTGAAACTGGACCCTTTCCTTTCACCATCAACTGAAATCAACTCAAGATGAATAAAAGACTTAAATATAAAACATAAAACTGTGAAAACACTAAAAGAAAGTCACTACGAAATACCATTCTTGACACAGGCCTTAGCAAAGATTTCATGAGGAAGTCTCCAAAAGCAATTGCAACAAAGTAAAACATTGGCCTAATTAAACTAAAGAGCATCTGCACAGCTAAAGAAACTGTTAACAGAGTAAACAGACAACCTACACAATGGGAGAAAATATTTGCAAACTATGTATCTGACAAAGGTCTAATATTCAGAATTTATAAGGAACTTAACAAGATTAAAAAATGGGCAGATGACATGAACAGACACGTCTCAAAAGAAGACATACATGCAGTCAACAAGCATATGAAAAAAATGCTCAATATCACTAATTATTAGAGAAATGCAAATCAAAGCCACAGTGAGATATCATCCCACACCAGTCAGAATAGCTGTTATTAAGGTCAGAAAATAACAGATGTTGGTGAGGTTGCAGAGAAAAGAGAAGGCTTCTACACTCCTGGTGGGAACATAAATCATTAGTTCAGCCACTGTAAAAAGCAGTTTGTAGATTTCTCAGAGAACTTAAAACACAACTACCATTAAACCCAGCAATCTCAATACTGGTACATATCCAAAGGAATATAAATTATTCTACCACAAAGACACAGGTATGCGTATGTTCATCACAGCACTATTCACAGTAGCAAAGACATGGAATCAAACTAGATGTCCATCAATGGTAAACTGGATAAAGAAATTGTGGTACATATACACTGTGGAATACTATGCAGCCATAAAAAAGAACAAAATCATGTCCTTTGCAGCAAATTGGATGCAGCTAGAGGCCATTATCCTAAGTGAATTAATGCAGGAACAGAAAACCAAATATCGCATGTTCTCACTTATAAATTGGAACAAAATGTTGAATACGCATGGACACAAAGAGGGAAACAATAGACACCAGGGCCTACTTAAAGGTAGAAGGTATGAAGAGGGTAAGAAGCAAAAGCCTACCCATCAGATACTGTGCTTACTCCTGGGTAATTAAATCATTTGTACACCAAACTCCAGTGACATGCAATTTACTCACATAACAAATCTGCACATGTACCCTATTAAAGTAAAATAAAAGTCGAAAAAGAAAATAAGAAAATCTTGGGTTACAGGATGGAGGGTACTAAAAAAATTAAAAATAGAACTACCATATGATCCAGCAACCCTGCTGCTGGGTATACATCCAAAAGAAAGGAAATCAGTATATCAAAGAGACATCGGCACTTGCAGTTTTACTGTAGCACTATTCACAATAACCAAGATATGGAGTCAACCTAACTGTCCCTCAACGGATGAATGGATAAAGAATATGAGGTACGTATACACAATGGAATATTATTTAGCCATAAAGAATGAAATCCTGTCCTTTGCAACAACATGGATACAACTGGAGGACATTACATTAAGTGAAATAAGCCAGGTACAGAAAGACAATGCATGTTCTCACTCATAAATGGAAACTTAAAAAAAAAAAAAAACAACTCATGGAGATAAAGAATGATAGTTACCAGAGGCTGGGAAAGAAAGCAGGTGGGGACTCCAGTTAAGGAACATGAAAACACAGTTAGTTAGAATGAATAAAATCTAGTATTTGGTAGCACAATAAAGTGATTATAGATAACAAGTATATATTTCAAAATAACTAGAAGAGTGGAATTGAAATGTTCTTAATACAAAGAAATGATACATACTTGAGGGGATGGATACCCCAGTTACCCTGATTTAATTATTGCACATTGTATGCCTATATCAAAACGTATAACCCATAAACATATAAAACTATTATGTACCCATAATAATTAATTTAAAATGAATAAAAATAAAATCCTGGGTTCCAATCCCAGCCAGTCTACCATAGAACCCTCAGCAAGCCCTTTCTCCTCCTGCAGGCTCATCTGCCTTGTGTGAAGGTGGACGGAAAGATGTGGGGCATTTGTTTGATTTATGTAGATGTGGGGCATGGCAGGGACTTGGTTCAGAAGCTCAACATAAATGGATAACTATGAGAGTCATAGACCATGTGATTCCATCCTGGAAGGGTCACCCATTCTGAAAAGCTTGGCTGAATTAAAAAGGAACGTCCTTCTCTCTGTGCCTCTGCAAGAACACAAAGGAGACCCAGTTCCTAGCCCTACAACACTTCTTCACATGTCCCATTTCCTTTCCTGCCCTTTCCAGAGCCTCTCATTTGCTAAGACCCTCAAAACAAGTCTCCAGTCATCCCTTGGCCTGCGTCTCTCTGTGCTGCAGATGGAGTGGTCTTTTCTCACCAAGCCCTCCCTCTTCCTCCCCCATCTTCAGTCCTGTCTCATCCACAGCACCCCACCCCCAATGCTCTACAACCCTACAACCTCCAGAGCCAACCTGGCAGCCACACGCTTCTCCCGTGGAGCAGGGATGGTGTGGGTAAAGGTCAGCATTGACGAGATGTCCTTTGGCAGCCAGAGTTGGGAAGGTGAGGAATCCTCTTCCGCGAATGAACTGTGCCCAGCCTCACATGGGCAGCTTAGAACCAGACTCCCTGCTGAGCTGTGTTCTCTGCCCACAGGGTGACAGCGGGGGACCTCTGGTCTGCACCCCAGAGCCTGGTGAGAAGTGGTACCAGGTGGGTATCATCAGCTGGGGAAAGAGCTGTGGAGAGAAGAACACCCCAGGGATATACACCTCGTTGGTGAACTACAACCTCTGGATCGAGAAGGTGACCCAGCTAGAGGGCAGGCCCTTCAGTGCGGAGAAAATGAGGACCTCTGTCAAACAGAAACCTATGGGCTCCCGAGTCTCGGGGGTCCCAGAGCCAGGCGGCCTCAGATCCTGGCTCCTGCTCTGTCCCCTGTCCCATGTGTTGTTCAGAGCTATTTTGTACTGATAATAAAATAGAGGCTATTTTTTTAACCAAGGGAGGGTGCATGAAAATGTGTCTCCAGCAGAGGCTCTGGCTGCAGCTCAGGGTCAAGGATGGAAACTGAGACTGGAACCAGGAGAACCAGAAAGTCAGGCTGGGGCCCTGGTTTGGGGACTGCACTTTGGGTCTGTGGATTAGTCAGGACTCTCTCCATTGTAGGTGACAGTCACCTCAGTCTGACTGAATTCAGCCAAAATGAGGCATTTATGGATACATATAACAGGAAAATAAAAATAAAAATAAAAAACCGACACACAAATATCCAGGGCAGGCATGATGACTTCAGGAGTGGCTGAGTCGAGGGGCTGAAAGGTGAAGGCTGTGACTGTTGTCTGTGGCCATTTCCCTCAAGAAGGGCTCCTCAGTGGTGGCCATGATGAGAATAAAGAATTTGCTGTTGTGCCGGGAAGTTAGTCTCTTAGACCTATGCGGCCTTCAGTGGGTTGGACAAGGCCCACCCACACTATGGAGGGAAATCTGCTGATTCAAAAGTTATCAATTTAAGTGTCAATCTTATCCAAAGATGCCCTGCAAGTTGACATATGAGATGAACCACCACACTGCCCAGGCAGCCTTCACATGGTGTTTACATTACTCCCGCCCATCAGAACGAACGATGTGCTTATGCTCACCCTACCTTAAGGACAACAGCTTATTGTAACCCTTCTATCAAGCAACCTTAATGTTTCCTGAGGACTCCACTGATATGGTTTGGCTATGTCCCCACCCAAATCTCATCTTTAATCCCACGTGTTGTGGGAGGGACCCAGTGGGAGATAATCGAGTCGCGCAGTGGTTTTCCCATACTATTCTCATGGTAGTGATTAAGTCTCGCGAGATCTGATGGTTTTATCAGAGGTTTCCCTTTTTGCTTAGCTCTTGTTCTCTCTTGCCTGCTGCCATGTAAGATGTGCGTTTTGCCTTCCACCATGACTGTGAGGCCTCTCCAGCTACGTGGAACTGTGAGTCCACAAACCCCTTTTTCTTTATAAATTACCCAGTCTCAGGTACGTCTTTATCTGTTGTGTGAAAACAGACTAACACACCCACTTTTCAAAATCACCTTTTTTCCGTTCCCCATCTTGGGCCTTCTCTCTTTTGGGGCAGGCAGGCCTGGGCTCCCCTTTCCCTTGCCTCTCAAGTTGTCACCTGTTCTCCTTTCTGGCTCATCCTGGAGCCAAGCTGATGGTGCTCCCCTCTTGCTCTTTCCTTCATGTTCAGAGGCTCTTGCCTCTTCTTTCAGCTGACCTCCCTCCATGGCTCAGTCCTTCTGAGTTGCCTGCTGTGTTCCACCAGCATGTTGAATGGCCCCTCCCTGCACCAAGCAGGACTCCCCCACCCTGCAGCATGCAGCTGCAAGGGCTGGTGTGGGGCGGACCACCATTCACAAGAAGCCCCTTGAGAACATGTTCTCGTCTTCCCCTCATGTAGACCCAGTGCTGCTGCGTGCTTCTTTCCTCTGGATTCGAATTTCCTGGGCCACCACCAAAGATGCAAAGGCAATTCAGGAAATGCAAATCCTTAAATGGAAGCTTGGGCTTTTCCTGGGGACCTACAGCCTGGCTGAGAGTTCTCCAGACAGAGACTGTGAAAAAAAAGCTTCCTGGCTGGGCACGGTGGCTCAACGCCTGTAATCCCAGCACTTTGGGAGGCCGAGGCAGGTGGATCACCTGAGATCAGGAGTTCAAGACCAGTCTGGCCAACGTGGTGAAACCCCATCTCTACTTTAAAAAATACAAAACTTAGTTGGATGTGGTGGCAGGTGCCTGTAATCTCATCCACTCGGGAGGCTGAGGCAGGATAATGGCTTGAATCCAGGAGGTGGAGGTTGCAATGAGCCAAGATTGCACCATTGCACTCCAGCCTAGGCAACAAGAGTGAAACTCCATCTCCAAAAAAAAGAAAAAAGAAAAAAACTTCCTAGTTCTCCTTTTTCCCACTCTAACCCTGCTCCTCCAGAGGTCCTACAGCTACAATGTCTAGAAGCCATTTTTTCAGAAGCTCCTAAGAACCTGGGACTCAGGCAGGCCCAGTGGACGGTGGCCAGCCAGAGTGTGCACCATCTCAGGACATCGCCAGTGTCCACTCCACTTTCCTGCTCACTGCGCTCTGACTTCTGTGTGAGGGCCCTCCCACACAGAAGGACTCCCAAATTGGGGGTCCTCCAATTTGTATAGTTCTGGATGGTTTTCACCCACTCTCCAATTTGCGTAGTTGTGGATGGCTGGCCCTTTGCTAGGGCCTGGGGTGGGCATAGAACTCAAACCTGGCCTAGAAGGACATTGATTTTGGCCACAGGGATGGGAGCAGCAATGGACTGTGGGCTTTGTGGGTCATAAGAGCGAGACCAAGACTTCTGCTGGAGTTACCAGGAACAAGACTCTCTCTCTCTCTCCTGGGACTCCCAAGATGGTAGGGTGCATGTTGAAGGTACTGCTCATGCGAAGGCTGCTGGGGAGTGTGGTGGTTCCTTTTATCTGTTAACTTGGAGGGCATCTTTGGATGAGATTAATGTTTAAATTGGTAAACTCAGAAGAAGCAGATTGCCCTCCATAATGGGGGTGGGCCTCATCCAATCCACTGAAGGCCTGAGTAGGACAAAAATAATTGGCCCTCCCTGCACAAGAGGGAATTCCTCAGCCGCCCACCTTCGGACTTCACCTGCATTGTCAGCAATTCTGGGGCTCTGTTTGCCGGTCTCTAAACCAGAGCGGCACCATCGGCTCTCCTGCATCTCGAGTCTGCTGGTCCACACACCAGGTTCGAGCCTGCCAGTCTCTGTAATCAGGTGAGCCAATTCCTTATAATAAACAGCTTCATATCTGTATATCCATATTTATATCACCTATATATCTACATCTCATCTCTATATCAACTCTATCTATCTAATCTATCTCTCCTGTTTTTTCTGGAGAACTCTGACTAATATGGGGGAAGAGCTTCTGTACTGTGAAGGGGCTTCTTAGATAATGAGGTGGAAGCAATGTTGCTGTTTCACTTTTCTTTTTTGAAACATGGTCTCACTCTGTCGCCCAGGCTGGAGTGCGGTGGCATGATCACAGTTCACTGCCACCTAGATCTCAGGCGATCCTCTCAACTCAGCCTCTCTAATAGCTGGGACTACAGGTACACATCACCACACCTGGCTCATTTTTTAAAATTTTTTGTAAGATGGGAGTCTCACTATGTTACCCAGGCTGGTCTCAAACTCCTGGGCTCAAGCAATCCTCCCCGCCATGGCCTCCCAAAGTGCTGTGATTACAGGCATAAGTCACCGCACCTGGCCCTGTTTCACCAGTGAATGCAACATTTTGTCATGATATGGGAATTGTCAGTTTACACATTATCCCATCAATTGTGATTAGTCAGGCTACAGGATTATCATCTGTGTCCCAAGAGAGTTTTCATACCTCGAGTCACACAGCGTAGTGTCTAACCTGCACTGTGGTTCCCCAGTGCGGATGTGTGGGGACAAGACAGACACACAGAGACATCTGTTGGACATCAAGGGAAACATCAATGTCTGTTGGACACGGAGTCGACCACTGCTACTAAGGTGTTTAAACTTAACAACTTAATAAATGCAATTGTTAGGCATTTCATTTGGCCTAGAAGCACCAGAAAAAAAAAAAAAAGCTAAGACACTAAGGGTTTGTGAACTGGGAAAGTTTGAAAAACCTCTGGCCTAAAAGACAATTGCTGATTTTAATATTTTGTATTTAAGAATTAGGGGTGAGTTGTTACAATAGTTTTGTGGAGGGTAATTTGAGAGTAGCCCAAACGTCTCCTTAAAGATGACCTGGCCAGGCACGGTGGCTCACGTCTGTAATCCCAGCACTTTGGGAGGCTGAGGCAGGTGGATCACTTGAGTTCAGGAGTTCAAGACCAGCCTGGCCAAAATGGTGAAACCCCATCTCAACTAAAAATACAAAAAAATTAGCTGGGTGTGGTGGTGGGCACCTGTAATTTCAGCTACTTGAGAGGCTGAGGCAGGAGAATCGCAGAGGAGGCAGAGGTTGCAGTGAGCTGAGATCATACCATTGCACTCCAGCCTGGGTGACAAGAGCAAAACTTTGTCTCAAAAAAAAAAAAAAAAAAAAAAATGACCTCCTGCAGCAGGGACATGAAATCAAGGCTCAGGTGTCTGTGGGCTGTTTTGTCTGCTCTGCACCTAGTGGCTCCGGTTTATTTGGGGGAACCCTCTTCCTCATTGCCAGTTTCTGATCTCACCTTTCTCAAGATCCATTTCGTATGGACAGGTAGAGCCCCACCTCTGATTCCGGAGGTTGCATGGAACCAGGCCTGGCCAATGAGAGGCCCTCAACCCAGGGCCTCAGGATGTCTTTCAGGTGGCCCTAAGAACCAAGCTTGGCAATCTTGGCAAGTCCCAGAACTTCACCTGGGACTTGCACAGGCTCTTTGAGATTAGCAGCTCTCTCTCTGTCTGCTAGGACTGACCCTTGGAGAATGTAAGCCTAGAGCTTCTGGGGGCCCCATGTGGAGGTGACTGCCCTGAGAGTGAAGTCAAAGAGTGAAGACATCACATCCTGATGATATTTTTATAGCCCTTACAGCCAGGCATGCCTGAACCACAGATTTCTTTTCTTTTCTTTTCTTTTCTTTTCTTTTCTTTTCTTTTCTTTTCTTTTCTTTTCTTTCCTTCCTTCCTTCCCTTCTCTTTCTTTCTTTCTTTCTTTTTCTTTTCTTTTTTTTTTTTTTTAGACAAGGTCTTCACTCTGTTGCCCAGGCTGAGTGCAGTGGCACCATTTTGTTTCCTTTAACAAATCTCTCCCTATCTTCCCCTTTCCCCTATGCTTCCTAGGTTCTAGTATTCTCTGTTCTAATTTTTACTTTTATGAGATGAACATCTTTTAGTTTCCACATCATATAAGCATTTACAGCTATACATTTCCCTCTCACTGCTGCTTTAGTGCATCACATATGTTTTTGTGTGTTATGTTTTCACTCTCATTGACCTTAAAGTATTTTCTA